ACAAGGGCTGCAGCAGGACAACCCAGGACCGGCAGAAAGGCAAATCTCACAGGCAAGGTACAGAGCCGGTCTGGGTGGACTTGGTCGCCAAGAAGGAGTGTCCCAAAGCCAATTTTGTCATAGTGATACGTAGATGTCGATGTGTGAGTGGTAAATATTAAAGGTGTTATTTCTGTCATCTCTCTATAATCCTGTGTTCACCTAGAAGCATCTTCTTGAATTTGATTTGTCACGTTGCTCTCATTTGGAAATGTCAGTTGGGTTTCCATATCCACGTTGTCCAACGTGGCTTGTACTCCAAGGCCTCTTTCAGCTGTGCACCCTTCTTTTCCTGATTCCCAGGGTAGCCCCGTCACTGCCTCTAAGCAGATCTGTCTACTGAACTGCGGAGCAGACTTGCTTTCCTACTGCTCCGCCTTTCACCTGCCCTATCTCCCAGCCTCCAGTGGTCCTCCATCGCATGCATGCATTCATTCGTTCATGTTTGCATTCGGAATCTTTACTGAGCTCCTTCCATTGGAAATCAGGCTCGCAGGGCCAGCAGGTGGTGTGGTTAAGGTGCTGGAATCCCACATGGCTGACCGTGGTTCACGTCCCAGACCTGGCGACTTGCTTTCTCACTTTCCCCTTTTCTTGCTTGCTCGCTCACTCTCTTTCTCTCTGTCTCTTTGGTCAAATTTTAAAAAATAATAACAAAATTAAATAAAGATATAGTTAAAGATATATGTGTGTGTATGTGTGTATGTATGTATCAGGCTCTCTCTAGAGCTAGCAAGCAGTGTGGTGGATGAGGTGCTGGCTTCCCACTGGCTGACCATGATTCGAGCCCCAGACCTCGCAGCTTGAAGATCACGTCAAGCACGTGCGTGATACTCAGGATACCAGGAGGAGAAGGGATTGGGCATGGTCATCCCCCTGGGGAGTGATTTCTCACTTTTAGATGTCGATGTGTGAGTGGTAAATATTAAAGGTGTTATTTCTGTCATCTCTCTATAATCCTGTGTTCACCTAGAAGCATCTTCTTGAATTTGATTTGTCACGTTGCTCTCATTTGGAAATGTCAGTTGGGTTTCCATATCCACGTTGTCCAACGTGGCTTGTACTCCAAGGCCTCTTTCAGCTGTGCACCCTTCTTTTCCTGATTCCCAGGGTAGCCCCGTCACTGCCTCTAAGCAGATCTGTCTACTGAACTGCGGAGCAGACTTGCTTTCCTACTGCTCCGCCTTTCACCTGCCCTATCTCCCAGCCTCCAGTGGTCCTCCATCGCATGCATGCATTCATTCGTTCATGTTTGCATTCGGAATCTTTACTGAGCTCCTTCCATTGGAAATCAGGCTCGCAGGGCCAGCAGGTGGTGTGGTTAAGGTGCTGGAATCCCACATGGCTGACCGTGGTTCACGTCCCAGACCTGGCGACTTGCTTTCTCACTTTCCCCTTTTCTTGCTTGCTCGCTCACTCTCTTTCTCTCTGTCTCTTTGGTCAAATTTTAAAAAATAATAACAAAATTAAATAAAGATATAGTTAAAGATATATGTGTGTGTATGTGTGTATGTATGTATCAGGCTCTCTCTAGAGCTAGCAAGCAGTGTGGTGGATGAGGTGCTGGCTTCCCACTGGCTGACCATGATTCGAGCCCCAGACCTCGCAGCTTGAAGATCACGTCAAGCACGTGCGTGATACTCAGGATACCAGGAGGAGAAGGGATTGGGCATGGTCATCCCCCTGGGGAGTGATTTCTCACTATCCCTCTCACTGTCTGTCTGTCTCTGGTGAGCGCAAACACCCTATGATGTAAGAAGAGAAAAGGAAAACCTCACTCTCTCCTAGGCAGTGTATATGCAGCAGTAAGCAAGTAAAGATTCTATCTTCGTAGATCTTTGTTCTCTCCTAAAATTGTTCACCACACCCTTAGAAGTACTGCCTCGAGGCCCCCTTCTTCAGGACACAGCCACAGCCAAAGCAGCACCAAGTAGTGCCCACTGCCCTGCCGTGGCTTAGCCTCGCCGCCTCCCTCCCTCGAGCATCTAGCCTTCTCACGCCAGAACGCCGTGCTCACAGCCTTGGCATGTGTGTGCCACCCACCCTCCCACCCCGTCCTCCTCCAGGGTAAGAGCTGGCTCTGCTGCTCAGCGCCCACATGTGAGGAGTTCCCTTTAACTGCTGTTCACTGACCAGTTAATGTGGCCACAAGGGAACATACCGTATGTCGTGAGCATGCAAGTTCCAGCAGGTTTTGTAGTTTGGCATGGTCACATACTTGGGTTTTATTGGTATGCATTTTGTTTTTCAATGTAACCTTTTCTTATTCTTTCACATTTTTAGATGCAGCCCGACAGGCCGCTCACGAACATGAGGTAAGTAGCTTTCTGTCTGCGTGTCATCTCTACATTTATAATCCTGTCACTATTTGAGATGCCATTAGACCAGTACTGGCAGTGCATTGCCCGTCCCAGAATTCAGAGTGGTTCTTAGCTCCGATAGATATTTAGATCGTGTCTCTCCTTGAACTCCACCCCTAACCCCAACCTTTAACCATGGTCCAAGAACGTTTGGCTTTAAATGCAAAAGATGGCTGGAATTCAGAGTGAGGGGTAGAAGTGAGAGCCAGCTGACCTCAGCTCATTGTCACCAATGCCTTAGTTGACTGTCAGAAAGTTAGAGCATCCAGCGTTTGGATTCAGCGACAGTGTTGACAGTGTTGACGGGGCGTAAGTGACAGTATGTGGGATGCATTTCCTCTCTGACCAGCATGCATCTGTTTCCTTCCGCCACGTTGGGCTCTGTCCCACACATAGCACGGAGGTCTTGATCCCGTATGAGTAGGACGTGACCTGTGTGTGTTGCGCGGAGAGCTGTAAATCTGTGGAGCTGTGGTTGAGGTGTGGTTGTGAAAGGAAATAACATCTGTGGTCATCCCACCCTTTAAAACCTTTAATGACTCCGCATTGCTTACCAAACTCAGCAATCAGGGGCTTCTGTAATTAAGTCCCAGCTTCTTATTCCAAATACCTTCTCGTTCCAAATAACTCACATTTCCCTGTGGATTTCATGTTCTCGAAGACCTTCCTTCTCACTGTCCTGCAGGTGCCCTGTCTTTCTCTGCCTCCTGCCTGTGCTCACCTTATTCCCTTCAGAAGAGTTCTTTCTCACCCCGTCCTCCCATTTCTGCCTCTCGTAAGTTCTAGCCATCCTTCAAATCCTAATTCAAGTTCCATTTTCTCCTGCAAACTTTTCTTTGCTTCCTCCAGCTTCCTTTAACTTTCAAGGCTCTCTCTGCTTCGCTTATGCACTTAGCTGATCTGGCCTGGTGTGAGGTTACCGAGGTACTTGTATTAGTCACACTCTTGGACTGTCATCCTCTTTAAAGGCGTGCATGGTCTAGTTTCTGTCTTTGAATCCAACCCCATTCCACCTAGTGTGGTGCCCTTCCTGGAGGAAGTATCCCATAAATACTTGATTATTTTTGGAGAAGAACCCATTCAAAGTTGACTTGAACTGACAGTGGGAATATAAGCACAAAGGATTTTCAGTTGTTCTATTTTGTGTGTTCAGTTTTTTACTGAACCAAGGATATGATTTCTTCAGAAAGGAACTTATCTACTTTGAGGTTATAATTCTCGTGTCTGATTTGGTGCTGGTGCCTTTCAAAATATAAAGAAAAGGTTCAGATTCCCAAGTCAAATAGATGTATTATCATCCCTAAATTATAAAGTAAAAAGCATAGTAAATATTATCATTTTGTTCTCGTATAAATCCTATACAAATGTAATTATGAGTGACATTGCTGCTCTAACTAGAATGAAATGCTATGAATATTTTTATTTGAAAAGCTTTGTATGTATACTTTTGTGTTTTAAATCATACTTAAAGGACCAGCAGGTGGTGTGGAGGTTAAGGCGCTGGATCCCACATGGCCAACTGCACACAAGTCAAGCCCCAGACCTGGTGACTTCAAAATTACACTGGGGGAGCCAGCAGGTGGCATGGTGATTGAGGGTGCTGGATACTCCCACATGGCCAACCATGGTTCAAGTCCCGGACCTGGTGGCTTGCTTTCTTACTTTCTCTCTCTCTCACTCTGTCCTTCTCTCATGTGTGTGTGTGTGTGTGTGTGTGTGTGTGTATTTAAATAAATAAAATAATTATTTAAAAAGAAAATTACACTGGGTATATGTGTGTATATGCCCAAAATCCTGAGAGGAAAATGGAAGAGAAGTGATTCCAGTGTGGCCATCTCCTTTGGGGGATGATTTCTCACTTTCCTGCTCCCTATCTCTCTAGCAGGCACACGTGTCCTATCAAAAATACCTAAAAGGGGGGACCAGCAGTTAGCATAATGGCTTTGTCGCTGAACTCCCATGTAGCCGACTATGGTTCGAGTCCCGGACCTGGTGGCTTAAACTCATGCCAGGCGCGTGTTCATGTGTGCCCAAGATCCCAAGAGGAGAATGGAGGAGAAGGGATTGTGGTGTGGCGATCCCTCCTGGGGGGTGATTTCTTGCTTTTTGTCTCTGTCTTTCTGGTGAGTGCACATGCCCTGTAGCAAAAACCTCTACAAAAAAAAGAGATGGAATTTTTAAAAAAAGAAAATTATGCCAGGTACGTGTGTGTATGTGTGCCCAAAATCCCGAGAAGCAAAAAGGGAGTACAGAATGGCCATCTACTCTGAGGGGCGATTTTGCACTTTCCTTCTCTCTGTTTCTGGGAGCGCATGTGCTCTGTGGCAAAAATTCAAAACAAACAAAAAAATACAGCTAATTGACTGATGTTGCAAGCTTCCTGTGTTACCAGGCACTCACTTAATTACTTACTTTTTCTTCCTTCATGTATGTGCCTGTTTGCGCTGATACCATGAAATTTCTGTAAATCTTTTTTCCCTACTTGATAGCTTCTCTAACTTTAATGGTTACAAAAAGAGTTTGGACAATCATTTGAAATTTTAGGTCTTACATTTTTTTAATCAATTACTGATTTATTTCATCTCTATAGATTTTGCTGGCCAAATTATATGTGCATTTTTGTCTTCAGCAAAGTTGATAGCGTCAGAAAAGATGTAATAGATTTAGTCACTCATAGAAACTGCTGCTGCTGATTCGAGAAATGAAGCTTTTTATTAAAGACATTAATATGAAATAAATTCTGTCATTCGTATGATTTATGAGCAGGACTGGAGTCTCTGTGTGATCTCCTCATTTCAGAATTAGGCACACATATTAAACCAAACGAAAAACAGGAGTGGTAAGTGGAGAGCCAACAGTAATTTCTCAAAGTGTAAATGGTAAATTCTAAAAAAAAAAAAAAAAAAAAAAAATCTTGGTACGCCCACATTAAGATAAAGCTCTCTTAGTAAGGTTGTTTATCCAGTTAATGTCCCTGACTTGATCGTTTTTTATTTTTCATTGATTAATATCATGGATGTGATTACCAGGTAATTTCCGAACAATTGCCATATCAAATCATTGGCTTGAGAGTTTTAGAACTCTTTAGACACCATAATTTTCTTACATGTAGTGTCTTAGTGTTTTGGTTTTTGCTTTTTAAGTGTTTCGCCATAGGGCGCGTGTGCTCTCCAGAGACAGACAGAGATAGTGAGAGGGACAGTCAGTCCCAGGGAGGATGACCACGTTGCCCATACTTCTTCGTTCTCCTGGGATTTTGGGCGTACGCACACCCGGCGTAATTCTCAAGCCGCCAGGTCGGGACTCAGACTGTAGTGGGCTATGTGGGAGTCCAGCATCTCAACCACCACACCCCCTGCTGGCCCCACATGTACTCTTCTTAACATAATAGGATTTCAGGAAAATTCAAAAGCAGCCACAGGAGGCGTCATGGTGAGTTGGAATCCAGGTTTTGTTGGGGCACCTCCAGGTGGGTAAATGGCTTGAGCTGAAGTAGGAGTGAGATGGTGCAAGTGTCTTACAGAATGCCTGGAAGATCACCGCCCCTAAATGCATTTGGTCTCCCCTCACTCACCTTGAGAGAAGTAAAATGAGGCCTGCTATCGCTCAGCCTTCTAGCTCACCTTAGAATACTAGGACCTCCGCGAGCCCTTCCGCAGGCACCCGGTTTTGCCAATGAGGAAAGCGACTTGCCTAAGACAGGAACGATTCACCCAGAATTGCTTATTAGGTGAAGTTAGAGGCAGACATGTGATGGCAACCCAGGCCTTCCATGTCGTAATCGAAGGGCTGTCCTGAAGGCCACTCTGTGCGGCAGTGAGAGCCTTCCCCCAAAGTAAGAGGCACTGGAGAAAGGCCTGCCACTCAGAAATTCTGGCCCTCAGCCTGGGTCACAGCAGAGCAGGTTCAGTTCAAAAGGGCCTCTGTTCTCTTAACCTCCGCTCAGCGTACAGCGTGAAAGCCCGAATGAAGGGTGCGCCCGCTCCTCTCCAGTCACAAGCCAGCCCACTAGACCCAGTGTGACTCCCAAGAAAGCATCTACATCTCATGTGAGAACTAAGATAGAAACAATAATTTTGTTTCTCCTTTAATTTATGAGAAATGACAAAATGACACTCAGCCTGAACAAATTAGGCCCTTTCAATGAAGAGGTAATCAAATCCTTATGATTTTAATCCCTTGAGCGAGGCTGGGAGCAGCTTAAGTATAGCCGAGCCCCAGGAGGATCCTCTCCATGCCGAGAAATGTACTCAGTAATGGCAGAGCGCTGATGGTTCTTATTACGGCTCTTCCTTTAGCAGAATTTCCCTGTTGCCTTTCAGAGACTTAACATTTTCACTCAATTGCTTCAACGTCTCTTATGTTGTACTCTAAGAATCCGCACCAAGGGGCAGTATGTTCATGCACCTGCATGACGCTGTCCTCTGCCCTTACACAGTTCGCTTGGTCTGCACTGCTCTGGCAAAGAGGCGAGCAGAATTAGCAGTCCGCGGAGAGCCGGGGCCTCGGGGAGGGCTCTCCGTCCCACACTAACGGGAGCCACGCATCCCGCTCACCCATGTGCCTGGCAGGTACTGAGACTCCCGGCAGGTTACCAGGTCTCACGTATACCTGCGCGGTCGAGGAGACTGGCCAAGGTAGGGTGAGAGGGTCGTGAGACCCCCTCCTGAAGCTCTTGTGGACTGGTGCTTGAATCTGCCATGCCCCATCCACGTGGAGATGGCGAGTGCTGCACTTGCTGTTCTGCAACGACCCGGTGACAAAGTTAAAGCATGTGGCAGGCCACGAGTCGAGGGAAAGCCACCGCGGAATGCTCGAAGGTGCCTTCTGGAGCCAGCCTCTCCTGCCTGTATGTTAGTTCTGTCTGCAGTCCACGAAGGAGAGAGAGCTTTGCATGCTATCCTTGAGACTAAGTGGAAATTTCGTTAAATTTATTTAAGTTGTTTTGGGAAACTTTGGATTCTTTAGGAGGGGGAAGAGTAAAAATTAAGTGCTCTGAAATTTTCCTCAGGTGACTACATTGTTTTTTGGACTTCTGTCTAAATGTGGCTCAGTCCACTCCACTGGCGGGAGGCTTACGAGCCAGCGCCCTAACCAGGCAGACCCGACATCAAAGCAGGAGCGTGGCCCCCAGGCTTCCCTCGTGGCTGTTAGCTATCCCGCTTTTCTGCTGCACACCGAATCGTGTTTACGTTCAAAGATAAAACTCTCCTGTTGACAGAGTAGGAAAGACACATAGGGTCGCCAGCTTTCAGCATGTCTTTATAGGAATGATTTCTGAGTGTGTTGGCCACCGTTTCTCACGTCAGGGAGGTTTGGAATTCTCCGATTTCACGAGCGGTTTGCTCAGTCCTCAGCCCCTCCTGTTCTCTTTACCATCCGCTGGCCCGCGAGGGTTTGACCAGTGTGCCAACGCACCTCTAACTTATACTCACAATGCGTCCAACCTCACATTTTTGTAGAAATGGCAGCCAAATGGTGACTTAAGATATTGACTTTATTCTTAAGGGTCATCATGGAATATATTTTACAGAGATTGTGTGGCGTTCTGTTTTTAATGGCTGTTGGTGAATTAATTTAGCCTTCGTCCGTCTCTCTCACATAACCCTTTGCTTTCTCCCTTGTAGAGCCTGGTTATCTCTGACCTCTCGGTTTTGTGTGTTCGTTTTGCTGTATCTGAAGAAAGTCTAAGCTCCAGATCCAGGCTGCCCCTCATAAATAATGTGCCCGTGGAGTGCCATTCTTGCTGCTTCTGCTTGGCAGATCACTTCTAAGAGTACTCCTGCCACCCTGCAGGCTGGGTTGGGCAGCGCTGCTCCGAGGGCGTGGTCCGTGGCTCGCCAGTGCAAGTGACCGGAGCACCTTTCCTGGCTCCTGCCTCTCCCACTCACAGCTGCGCACTGATGCCAGTTTGGGGCACAGAGCTGAGACCCGGCTGCCGGCTTCTCTATTCGGGTCCTTCACAGGGACTTGTCTTGAGTTCCTCATCGCACGGCGTTCGCACCCGAGAGAACTGATCACTTAGCCTGCCTGGGCTTTCTGAAAGCTCCACCCCGATCACGTGACTGCATTCCCCTCGCACACTCATCTGGGCTGGTTCTTGCTCACCCCGTGTTTCTGTAAGGAAGACACGGCCATGCCTTGAGGTCCTGCTTGTTTGATTTAGCTTCTGTTTAAGAATGAACTGTTTGCTACTCTTTATTCACAGAAAGAAGCAGAGGTAAAGGAGCGGTCTGTCTTCGACATCCCCATATTTACGGAGGAGTTCCTGAACCACAGCAAAGGTGATTACCGGAGCATCCGTCCGTGTTCCCCAGGTCTTTGCCAAGGACGTTAGTTCTTAGGAGAAAGTCGCACTCCAGACCGGTGGGTCCCCTTGGGCCTGGTCTGGAAGGAGAACTGCAGTACAGGTGCTACACAGAGGCCAGCGGAGAAAAGCCAGGCCGTGTTGGCAAAGCTCCTCTGGCCTCTGGATCAAAGGAGATCAATTAAATCACTAACTCAGTCGCTTTCTGACCTCGGCCCCTTATACAAATAAAGCTGACATGGGCATCCGAAGTAGAAGGGACGAGCAGAGCTGACCCCCTGCAGTAAGATGGTCACTCGGCGCTGTGCTTGGCCAGTCTCCCAGGATCCCCCTGGGAAACCCCTCTGGCTTCTCATTGCAGTTTTAGAAAAACCAAACAACAACAAAACAAAAAATACCGGGAATTGCAACTGTTGTTGCAGACTTATTGTACAGAATGTGACCAGCTTTAAGAGTTAAAATGGCTCTGGGGAGGCCACTTTTATTGCTGAAATTGCTATCTAGAATGCCATAATGAGAACAGGGAGAGGTGGGGTAGCTAATTAGAGACGGCGAAGCACAACTTGCTTCAAAGACTTGTTGGGATTCCTCCGAGACTCTTTGCACAGCGTGGTGCTGCATGTGTGCGGTGGGGTGTCTCCTCAGCTCGGGAGGCAGAGCTCCGTCAGCTCCGCAAATCCAACATGGAGTTTGAGGAGAGGAACGCAGCCCTGCAGAAGCACGTGGAGAGCATGCGCACAGCAGTGGAGAAGCTGGAGGTGGACGTGATCCAGGAGCGGAGCCGCAACACGGTCTTACAGCAGCACCTGGACTGGGAGCCCCTGCGGCAGGTGCTGACGAGCAGCTTCGCCAGCATGCCCTTGCCCGGTAAGGCCGTCCTGCCCGAGTGTGTGCAGCGGGGCGGGGGTGTGTGTGTGTGTGTGTGTGTGTGTGTGTGTGTGCACTCTCTGTTGGTATTGGTGTCGGAAGGCTGGGCTTTCCACGGGGGCAGGGGAGGGAATCAGTAACAAGGTTTTCTTGCCCTCGAATTTTCTGGGTCAGCAGTGGAATGTCGGTATTGGCTAAAATCATCCAAAATGCCCGCGTCTCTGGCCATTTCTATTTTGGTCCACTTGCATTTCAGTTACCGTCCATGACGTTAAACCTAACGCAACATCCAGGGCAGTGGGAACTGAGTCATAAACCCTGCTGCGTGCACTTCCTCATGTATGCTTGCTCCGTGTTTGTTTCTGTGCTAATGGGAAGCAGGAGAAAACAGGCACTGTGTATACACTTTCCTTTGGAGGCCAGGCAGGGCAGAGAAGGGCAGAGAGCCGGGCGTGTGTGCCCTCAGAACACCCACGTGGTGTCCCCCCACGTAGCCGCGTAGCACGTGGAGGGGATACGGGCTCATCTCATCTCTTTGAGATCTAAAAGTTCCTTCTCTAAAATTAGAGTCGTATCTGTGGAGCAGGCCACATTAGACTCCTGATTTCTTTGGCTGTGGATTCACGTACCCGTTCATGGGTGGACTGAACGGGGAGGATTTTCTTACTGTCTCTCCTCATGTCACTTCAGGAAGTGGAGAGACACCCACGGTGGACACCATCGACTCGTACATGAACAGGCTGCACAGTATTATCTTAGCTAATCCCCAGGACAATGAGAACTTCATAGCTACCGTTCGAGAAGTGGTGAACCGGCTTGACCGTTAGGCACCGGTGAGTGCTCACTGAGAGGACGCGGACCTGCTAGCCTAGCAGCGGGACTAAGGTATCAGCGGACCCTGTCGATAGTGTCGCGCCCTGGCATTGCGCAGAGCGAAGCAGGCGGAGACTCGGTTAAAGATGCTGCTGCCTGGTGGCTAGTGTAGTAAAGAACAGCACGCAACGGGGTCGAGACTTGTTCTCATACAGTGGCTCTTCAACAAGTTCGTGGAAAACGCACGACTGAATGTCAAAAATTTTGTGTCAAAATAAACTCATACTTTTTTTTCCCTTCAATTTACCAGAGGGCTCATACAGTCACTTAAAGAGAGAAAGAGCATGAGAAAGTGAGAAAGCACCCTCCCTCCGCGGGGCTGGCCACACCACAATCTCTCCCCCCTTTCTCTTTCCTTTTGGGATTTTGGGCATACACCGTACACGCCCGGTGTGTGTCTCAGGCCTCTGGTCCAGCGCTCCAACCGCACGGCTGGCCATGAAGGACCCAGCCACCTTCACCACCACGCTGCAGGCTGGCCCACGACTCATACTTTTCATTCCATTTTAAGCATGAACTTTTTGAATTCCCTTTGTGCATGCCTCAGGGTGGTCTCACGGACAGCACATGGCTTTTGTGGATTAGACTTAGTTTTGTCACTTACTACTGATACTCTCAGGCTTTAGCCTCCCAGAGGATTTTGAAGAATGAGTGAGAAGGTCAGAGGAAATCTCCCAGGACTGTGTTCACGGTGCAGTATCGGTTACGTGTTGATCGTCTGTCCCTGGAAGACAGTGACGGTCACGTATAAATGGCCAGTGAGGTGCTGGGCGGGCACTTGTGTCTGCCTGGGTGAGGAGGAAGCTCGTCGTCCCTCCTCCGTGGCAGAGTGGCGGCCGCAGGGGACTGTCGATGTGGACCTACTGAGCAGTGAAACAGTTAATGCCCTGGTTTAATAGATTAAAACAGAAACTCTAAATAAGCCAAAAAGAGAGGAAAGAGAAAATCAACTTTAAAAAAATAAATTACCAGTGGTATGTGGTACATTCTTTTGAGAGGAGAAAAAAATGCAATTCTAAATGGGATCTTCCCACGCAAACTTTTTGGTGCTAATGGTCAGTCATCAGATATTGCTTAAACGCAGTGGTGTTTGTTCACTCAAATTCCTAGAAATAGAAGGCCCTGTTAGTGTCCTGTCCCACACAAGGGGCAATCCTGGGGTGTCGTTTATATTGTTGCATACCTCAGACCTATAAACTGCGTGGAAATCTTCGGATGGGATGGTACGGTAAGGTGGCCATCGGTGGATGCTAAGTTACAGTCAGCCACAGAATATGCTGCTTAGACTGGCTGGCCATGCGTGTGACTGTCCTGCAGGTGTGTAAGCGCGCATGTATGTATATAACTCACGCGAGTTGCTTTGGACTTTGGACAACAAGTATAAGAATAAATAAAAATCCATGATCCTTGGCTCATGGGGCAGCGTGGGCTGGCAGAGTCAGCAGCAGAAGTCCCGACCCTTGTCGGTCACGCCCTTGGATGGTGACCATATGAGGCACTTGGTCACGCTTTAGCTCCCTGCGCTCTGGTGGGGAAAGGATCGCCAGCCTTCTGGTGAGTAGCCAGATGGAACAGGCCGTCCTTCTAAGAGGCGGCCAGACTCCCTGCAGAGGCAA